GGATGTTTATCAACTAACCACTCAAATGAATTAACATCTAATTCCTTCAAAGCTCTAAAAGCTGCAGTAAACTCAGAAACAGTCCATGCTCTAGCACATCTCCACAGTGCATCTTTAATAGACTTACCTTGGAAGCCTGCTACTTTCATATTCCCATAGAGATGTCCAACACAAAATCTGTGTTCCATTCTTGGTATAACATCTTGATGTGCTGCAATTATCCCCTTCTGTTTGTCAGAAATTAGAGTAAATTCATGCTCAAAATCATCTGAAATCTCCAAATCCCTCTTCAACAATTTTAAAACCCAATTCCATGATTGTTTTGTTTCCTTCTCAACTATGGCATAACATAAAGGGAAAAATGATATCATTGGAATCTATTCCAATTGCAGTTAACAACACACCTCCTGTTAAATTCTTCAAGTGAGTGTCATCAACTCCAATAATTGGCCTACAATACTTAAAGCCCTTCTTGCATGCATCCTAACACATGTAGAACCCTAGAAATCTTTCATCCCCATCAAATTCTTGTAATTCACTCAACTTAACTGAATATTTGGACATTGGATTGGTTCTATTTCCAACAGATAATTCCAAATCTTATTTAAGTTCTCTTCATTTCCTTGAATCATTTGTTTTGCTTTGGCTAGCACTCTATAAGTTTGCCTTTCACTCATATTAAACTTGTCATCATTGCGCACTTTCTCTTTAAACTTGAGCATCTTCCAGTCTTGATGAAATTTAATCTCATTACACCCTCGATCTCTTAGCTACCTTAGATGAGTTCAACATCCCATTATCAAAGGCCCATAAACAACCTTCATAATTTTCCTGCATCTTTAAAATCCTCCATTAGAAAGAGTTAATCACTTTTCTAAGACTTATTCTAAAATGACATCTATCAGTTTTGCATTCTACAATGAATCTCTCTCTATCATTCTTCACAACCTTAAGATCTTTACCATTTTTAATTGCATAGTTTTGCAATGCATCCTTGAATTCTTGCTTAGAGGCAAATGTCATACCTAGAGTGAAATGTGAGTTATTCATATCTCTACTTGGCCTAAAACTAATCCACAAACTACCCGATATCTCACCATCACTGTCTGACTCCACAATAGAGGCATCATCAGAAAGATTTGGTTCAAATGAATTATATAAAGTATCATTAACCCCACCAATTTCAATTAATGGGTCTACATGAGTCTCAAAATCCATGTCATCCCTAGTTTCACTGTTATCAAACTCCCTATCTATAACACCCCACTTTTCTTAATACTAATCCACATTTACTTAACAGTCAAAGATAACTAAACAAGATTAAAGCAAGATTAAAACTTAAACAAAACCATCCATCAAGGGTGTTACCGCCACAGTCACTACCCATGGTGACTGCACAGGCTACAAAAGGAAATCTAACTAGAGTCAAAGCTCAAACAACTACAAGATAAGCTTGGGGAACAAAGCCCTGGTGTTCCACACCAACAAAGGATTAAGTAATATCTAAACATCATAGTTTAACAGATTCTACACTAGAATCTAACAACTCAAAGTCTACGCACTAAACTAGCTCGTGCACGCTCAAACACTGGGCCCACCTGAAAGGGGTTAACAAACAACAAGTAGAAAGCAACCCGTTAGCACGAAGCTAAGTATAATGCCACTCAACCCTGTAAAATACTACAATATATACTTTTGGAAAACATTTGTTTCACATACTTAGATCAAGTATTCTCAATCACTTAAGCAACATTTATACATGCTCCTCAGGGTTTCTATATGCTTGTAACCTAATTATCAAATAGGTATACTATCTCAATCATTTAACTCATCAACAAACTCATGCTTTCACATGCTTAACTTATCATGGCGATATACACTAATCATACTCAAACTAGCTAGTGGTTAAAAAATATACTTATATTTTAACAAGCAATCTCATGCTAACATATAACCCAATTAACAATCTCATGCTATCATATAACTCGATCCCGGTAGTGAATATTAAATAGGTATACTATCTCAATCCCGAGTGTCCGAGCCTCAAGGGCCCGCGAGTCCCGGTCCGAAATGACACGTACCTGAGCCACAGGGGCCTGACCACAGCACATCTATTGCCTAGCGGGGCTTGTGGCAGGGCTTGAGGAGCCCCGCCGCCTGGATTTGCCAAGCGGTGGCCTAGGGCCACGGCTCTTACCATGAGCCGTGCCCTAAGGTCGTGCCTCCACGGGGCTGGCCAACGGTCCCTGCCTAGGGCCGTTGGCTAGCTCCGTGACTCATATGGTGCACACTGTCTTGTGCACCAATGAGATTCTTCTTCACCTGTAATGCAATTTCAGGCAATCAAACACTCTCAAATCCTCAACAACTCATCATAGATCAACAATAGACCACTTACTAGCTCAACCACAACATATATCTAGCATTTCTAAGAATTTTAACTAATAAAAAAACTTCACATAGTCTATAAAAGCTTATGGGAGCCCATGGGGTTATACATTTGTAGTTTCTTCCTTTTTGCTAGTATTCCACCTTCTTCCCAAGCTAGCTACACCCTCCTTCACCTCTGTGTTTTCTTTGGTGTTCTTGTAGAGCTTTTGAGGAGGAAGACAAGGTTGGAAATCAAGAGGAAAAGTCTAATAGCTTTCTAATTTATAGGGGCACTAAACCCTAGGAGAATCCATAATGATTTGTGGAGGGCATAATGGTAAAAGTTTGGCTAAGGAATGTATCAGACAAAGGGTTGGATGCTTGTGGTCTACCAAGCTTCATGGACCAAGTCTAAATTCATAGTTTAAAAGAGTTCTTGGGGTAAAAATGCATTTTTCCAAAAATATTTCCTAGACAACCACTTAGTTTAGGTTCCTCAGTTTTTTCCCGGTTTCACTCAGATTGACTTTTGGATCAAAATCATGGTACGCGATGTACCCGAAAATTTAGGATTTTAGACTTAAAATAAGTCCCGGTGTTGAATTTATTTAAAAGTGGCTCAAAATAATTTATTCAAACACCGATTTTATCGCAAAATTTTTTATAGAGTGAAAAATGGCTATTTTAGAATTTCTTAAAAACGAATTTATAAAATTAAATTTTTGGTTGTCACACTATGAGAACAATTCTCTTCATAGTTCCAATCACTCTCACTGCCATTAGGTCCTGCATTTTCACCTTCAAATACAAATATACGTTCAACACTTGGAATGAAAATTGCCTTTACTTAGAATAGCATCACAATTGTCTTCTTAACAAGGAAAAAATCATAGTTTAAAATCTAATTGAGCCATTGAGGAAATCCAACAACATGGAGTTAGAATATGATTAACATTAATGTGTTTTGCATGCAAGCAAGTCATCAAAGCAGAAAATATTTGAGAGATAACAATTGTTAAGTAAAAATTAAAAGAGGAAAGTAACACCTCTGCTGCTTTGATGAAAGTAACAATTGCTAAGCAAAAAATATGTTCTCATCTGCTAGGAATTTTTCATTATTCAATGTTAATACTTTTTACTGTCTAAGGAAAGCATTGTTTGGAACAATCCCTTTCTATTGTCACTAATAATGGTCCCCACAGAAATGCAAAAGAACTGACAAACACTTCAAATAAAGTAGTGTCTCACCAAATGCCAAATACATAAAAAAGAGATCAAGTATTTCATATTTTGGTCCCCACAGAAATGCACAACGATAAATTGAATAAAATAGACAAGTACAACTCATACAAACCATGGACAGAGAATATACAAACTGCTACCCTTATCTCTTTCCTAAACTACTACCCTATTCATACAAACCTCCACTATAAAAACTCAAAATTTTTATCATTGATTCAGTGTTCTTACCGTATGCCATCATGTTCGAAGAATATGCGACTATTTGTGAAGCCATGCCAGTGAAGCCAATATTATACTTGATGTTTCTTCCTTGATTTCGTCCAGGCGTTGCTGATTAAGAAGGAATTTTGGGTTGATTTGAGTTAGGTTTTGTAGAGGTTTTGTTGCTTACAGTGAGAGGATATGTAGATACGTGAGAAGAATATGAGTTTTTTTTTTTTTTTTTTTTTTTTTTGTTTTTAGTTTCGCAGAGGAAGAAGGAAAAATGCGAAGGAGAGAGTGACAGAGAAAGGGAGGGGGGGGGGGCTGCGCTTCTGTGAAGAGTCTTGTTGTTGTTGATGACGAAGAAAGACGAAGCAGCGGAGTGGGGTACAAGGCATTCATTAATTTTATTTTATTTTCTTTTGTTTATTTTTTATTGATGGTGAAAGACTTATTTACCCTTCTAAAATCTAAATATACAGAACAATTTATTAATTCCGATCGGAACTTACCGCTCAGATGACCGGAAGGACTAAAAATGAAAAAAAAAAAAAAAATCAAAGTCAAGAACTACTTATGTCAGGAATGAAAGTTGTGAACCTAAATTGACGGATGCACTAAAGTCATGGGACCAAAAGTGGAAAAAACTCTAAGGAGTAATGAGGCAAGTTCTAGCAAAACACCCATGACTGAAATCTCATATAAGTCTTCACTAGCAATGCATAACACACAAGATCAAGAATTAATCCAATTAATGAGTGGTTAACAAGACTATTGGCAAGAGAATAGATCAATCACGTGTTACACCTCAAATCATCAATCACAAATTGAATTGCAACAAGTACCACCAAAACAAACAACAAACCAACAAGAGAGAGCAATTGTAACTGCATGCTATAACAAGCAACTTATTAACCAAAAGAACCTGAGTCATCCAAGCAAAAATTTTAAATTTACCACAAACGGTAGACTCCTCCCCCACACTTAAAACTTTGCATCGTCCCTGATGCAAAACAAGAGAAAAGGAGAACAAGAGAAAAGAGAAAGGTAAAAAGCCATAAAACAAAGACTAACTAGACGAAATAGAGAAAAGCAATAAACAAGCAATATGAAAGATAACATGGGGTGCCTTCCATTAAGCGTTAAGTTTAACGTCGCTAGCTTGACGTAACCTCATTATGGCGTGCTCATCCCGGTTGATCCGTGAGGTTATCCTCATCCCAAGACATGGTGTAGAGCATGTTGCATTCTCCAACTCCAAGAGATTGTGGCTCATCAAGAACATTAAATGCATCTCTTTCTTCCCCAAAATCGAAGATCATTGTCCCCTTCCTTGCATCAATTACAGCTCCAGTTGTGGCCAAGAAAGGTCTCGCTAAAATGATTGGAACATCGGGATTTTCTTGCACATCTATCACAATAAAGTCACAAGTCACAAAATACCCTTCCACACGGACTGGAACATCCTCAAGAATTTCAATAGGGCTCCTAGAAGACTGATCAGCGCATTGCAATGTAAGTTGGATTGGTTGTGGAACCCCCAAATTCAACTTTTGTCAAAGGGATAGAGGCATGACATTAACACTAGCTACTAAATCACAAAGGGATCTTTTTATAGGACAGCCCCCAATCACACAAGGAATCGTGAATTTCCCCGGATCTCTATGCTTACGAAGAGGCTTCCCTATACCTGGTGTCAAAGCCCGGTACTCTTGTGCCATAACAATCATCTCTTGCTCCCCATACTTCCTCTTCTTAGCAAGAATATCCCTCAAAAATTTTCCATAAGATGGAACTTGTAAAAGTAAATTAAGTAAGGGAATTGAAACTTTCAAACTCTTAACTATCTCCAAAAACTTTTTCCACCTACTCTCTTTTGCTTGCTTTTGAAATTTTTGAGGAAAGGACAATGGTGGTTCATACCTTCTCACGGGCTTCTCTACCTCATCATGAACTTGTGGATTATTCTTCACATCAGCTGACTCAACTTCTTCTTTCTCAAGTTTCTCCTCAATCTCCACATCAACAGTTTTATTTGGAGTTGATGTTTTGATTGGAAGAGATGGATCTCCAAGTACCTTGTCACTCCTTGTAACAATTGCATTGACATGTTTTCTAGGATTTTCGGGGCAAGCGGGCAACTTTCTAGTTACTTTGGTGCAAGATGTAGAGGCTTGATTGGCAAGTTGATTCTCTAGCATCTTATTGTGGGCACTCAATTGATCCAACCTCTCTGTCACTTGCTTGAGTCTCTCTTCACTTTGTAATTGGGATTTTAGTAGCATATTCATCATGGCTCCCAAATCTGGTTGTGGTGGAGCTTCCAAAGTAGGTAAATGAGGTCTAGTTGGAGACTACATGCACACCTTGAAATTGTTGCCCTTGGAATCCTGGTGGTCCTCTATTGACAAAATGTTGGGGATTTGCAGCCCCCATTGGATTTCTTTGGATTGCTCTATGAAAATCCTGGGTGGTTTCTTGAAGAAGTTGGATTGTAGGCCCCTTGAGGTTGAAAAGATTGTTGTTGTGGCCTATTGTACCCCACCAAATTAATATGCTCCACGGGGGATTGAGAACTAGGATCATTAAGGCATTCTCCCAGATTGTGCCTACCACCACAAAGATCACACATTTGAGAGTGATTTGGGCTAGCTTTTTTACCAAGGAAGCTACATTATCCACCTTGGCTGACAAGACTGAAATTTGCTCCACTTTATGAATGCCTCCTACAGGTTTTTGAGAAGATCTCTCCGAGTACCATGTTGATCAATTCATAGCAATCTTCTCCAATAATTCCTCGGCTGGAGTGGGGTCCAAACTGTGAATGATCCACCCGAAGAAGCATCAACTAGAACTCTTAAACTGTCAAGCAATCTTTCATAAAATTACATCATCAATTCTCAACTTTGAATGCCATGGTGTGGACACGGCCTCCTCAGCTCTTTAAATCTCTCCCAAGCCTCAATCAAAGATTCAGTTGCCAGTTGCTTAAAATTTTGAATTGCTCTCCTCATCCTTTGAGTCTTGAAAACTAGGTATAACTTTTTCAAGAACTCTCCGTGTAGTTGATCCCATGTAACAAAGTGGTTGTCGGGAAGTGAGATAAGTTAGCTGTGAACTTTATCCTCCACTGAGAAAGAAAAAAGACGCAACTTTATGGCTTCTTGAGGGATTCCATTTATTTTGAAGGTACCACAAACCCTTAGGGACTTGGTGACATGAGCATTGGGATCCTCCGTGGGTGACCCTCCAAATTGATCCAAAACAACCATATGTAGAATGGCCGGTTTGATTTCAAAGTTGTTGGCCTCCACACCCGGCACATTGATACTGTCCTGCTCCTCAACATCTAGAGCGATGTAGTCAGACATATATGGATCTCTCCACATGTGGTGGTTGATTGACTCCATTGGCATCTCCACCTCCATTAGGATTTAGATTTACTTGATTTCCTGGTACCTATGCCATTCTTCTTTGCTTTCTAAGAAACTTGACTGTTTTCTCAATCTCAAGGTTTAAAGGCAATAATCCTTCTTTCCCCAAAGATCGTGTACGCATACAAAACCAAGTTCTTAGATCCAAAGCAAAATCACACTCAACAAAAAACAACTTGTTTAAAGGTTAGCAAAAATTAAATAAAACAAAAATAAAAATGGATTAGACTCCTAGAATAAAACATTCACTAATGTTAATACTAAACGTCACTTCCCTGGCAACGGCGCCAATTTGATTGCAATATAATTCACAAACAAATAATACCCGGAGTATCGGGTTATCGATCTACAGGGAAGTGGGGTATTAAGCACTAGCTACTATTTATTAACGAGAAGCTAATCATAACGAAAAACATGATTGAGCAATGACAAAAACTAAATAAAAGAACAAGTATGCAAGTTTGTGGAAACAATTGAGAAAGAGTGAGATTCCTAGGATTCAAGTATTTAATCACCTAGTGCCAATCCTAAGAACAATATTAAAATCTGGGTTTAACAAGTGTGAGAATGCAAAGGTGGTATAGAGTTACTCCAGTAATCTCTAACCTAAGTGAATATTCACTCCCGTGATATAAACACAGAACAACGAAAGAACAAGCATTCATAATAAATCTCTAATTACTACCATCTCCCGATGTGCAACAATTAAGAATTAAGCTCCATAAAATATTTGCCCTCTCCCAAGGTGTAACAGTTAAGTGCAATTGTGTGTGCCCTAAATTATGCCCAACTCCCGTTGTGACACAAACAAAGCTATGAAGCAAGTAATTTGGGCCCAAACTACTAGCAACACCAATACGAATCACAATTGCAACACAAGTATAAACCCAAATAATAATATATTAAAGCATTAAAGAACTAGGCACATAAGTTCATAAATACTTTTCACCCAAGAATCTCTAAGAAAGCTTAGCCACACATGGCTAAGATGGAATACAAAACAATAATAAGAGTTTACAAATAATCTAAGGAGTACAATAATTAAACCAAGTGAATTCTCTCAAATCTCCTTAGTTTGCTCCTTGCTTCCCAAGACAATTTGTGGCTCTCAATTCTCTTCTTTATTCTCTCCAAAACTGAGCATAATCTGACATAGGGTTGAGGAAGGCGTCCTTTTATGGAGGGAGTCAAACCGGGGCAAAATAGGAATTTTCTGAGCAAATTTAGAAGCTGCCAAAAATGCTGAAACACACCCGCTCGACGCGTCGAGCCGAGGAGTCATTTTCTCGAACTGAAAGCTGTAACATATCGACGCGTCGAATCTCCTGTGTACGCGCTTTTCGGTCCACTTTGATTCCAAACTTGTCCTCGAACTTCCCTTGCTTTTGCACTTAATCTACAATGGTTCCAAAACACTAACAAACACTGTAAAACATTCAAAACAAGTGTAAACCACAACTAAATAATAAAACAAAGGAATATGCAATTAATGTGACATTTCCATGAACTAAAACTCAACAAATATGCTCCAATCAATATTAGAAATATGCACAATTAGGCTCACATCACACAACTTTTATTTATTAGTGTAATATTTTTAATCATGAAATTAATAGTAAATAATTACTCTTTACAGGGCGTTTGGTTGGAGGAGGGGAATTATGTGGGAAAGGAATTGTAATTCCATGAGAGTTGAATTACTGGGAATAAAGTGGGAATTTAAATTCCAGTCTTTGGTTGACAGGAATAGAATTACTGGGAATTTCAATTACAATGTTTGGTATATATGGGAATTGAAAGGGAATAAGTAGTATAAAGTCAAAAATGTCCATTATTGTTGTTAGACATTAATTTTAGGTTAAAAAAGGAAGGGGTAATTTTGACTCATCACAATCTTTTTTTCCCAGGAATTAAAATCCCAGGGGGGGACATGGGATTTTAATTCCATGAAAACGGGGGAATTGCAATTCCCTCCAACCAAACTACGGAATTTAATGACCTTTGAAATTAGGTGGGAATTAAGTGGGAAGGGAATTTAAAATCCCTCCAACCAAACGCCCTGTTAATATTTATGCATGATTAAGAAATTAAAATATTTACAATAATACCCTTTTTTAAAAAGTATTTACATGTGTTCTTAATTCATGTTTCCTTTCTTGTATTATATTTTTTTATTATCCCATTTTTTGTTTCCCATTTCCTAATACAGAGGGGTTCAAGTTTGACTTCTTATTAGAGTTGTAGATTGATTTTCTTAGTTTAATTCCGTCATCAACTATGGACAATTTAAACTAATTTATTTCATTGTGATTTTTTGTCGGCTAGAATCACCCTCCTTGTGATTTTTTGCTGGCTAGGGTCAGAGCGCACTTTCTGACAATAACAACAAATTTTTTCATAAATCAAAGATTATACTGCAACACGTTTCACTACAGTGTCTACACAACATCAGAAAAGTCTGTATTTTCTTAGGAACATATATGTATAGGGTTTTGGAATGAAGCTTAAAAATGGTGATGTAGATTAATAGCATCTTGTCTCATGAAGTGGGAATGATAATTAATGAAGGGAATTATTTATTTATTTTTTGACAAGAAACAAACGGAAATAGCATTAATTAGAACTCATATATGTTAGGGATTACAGCTGTTGAAATAAAAGGACTCGAATCAATCCAGGTCGCACTAGCAAAATGAGAAAAAGCGTAACTAGCCAAAAGATGAGCAACAGTATTAGCAGTTTTGCGAACATGGCGAAAAGTAATATCATGATGAAAACCTGAAAGCAAGGTTTGAATGTCTTCAAGTAGCAAACCAAACGGTGATAGACACGGTTTATGAAGACTAGTAAGCAACATCTCAGCATCTGTTTCCACAATAAGGCCATCCCAGCAGTGTTATTCTTTAGCCAACTTAAAGCCTCCCGAACTGCAAGCGCGTCAGCGTCTCTAGACTGCAAAGGTCCCGGCCGTGTATCAGATTTCGCTGCCACAAAAAGGCCATGATGGTCGCGAAGAATCCAGCCCATACCAATGTGATTTGAATCATGGTGGACAAAAGCATCAATATTTAATTTCAATTTTCCATAAGAAGGTTTTGCCCATAATTCCTGAACCTGTTGCTATTTGGAACGCTTCAACTGCAAAAATCTGTATATTATATAATGCCAAATATTACATATTACAATACCTATAATCCAAGAATACTAGGTATATTTAAAGGTATTATTGAATTATTAATCATATACAATTAATAATAATAATAATAATGTGTTTGAACTTCAATTCCCTATCCACAATGGGTGCGTATGGGAGCTCCAACAGTTACAAATCACTAACTAACTAATCCATTAACTCCTTAAAAAGGTTTTTTTTTTGGAGTATCTACACTTGAATTGGTCGGTTAACCTGTCTATACTATACATATACATACGTACATAGATCTCTCTCTCTCTCTCTCTCTCTCTCTCTCTCTGGTTTCTGGGCAGGTTCTATTTGACGCGGTTTTAATGGCGTGCTGTCGGACTAATCACGGCCCTACTTTCGATCTTCTCAACGTAGGAAATCTTTTTTGAGTTAGCGTTTAGGGGTTTTGTCGCCATGGGGGATTTCTCATCAGTTTCCTCGTTGGAGTTGTTGTTGTTCTTGGTTTCTGCTTCTCCTCCGCCTCCTGAATCCAGGTTCCAGCCCATGAAATCCAGCAATGTCATTCCAGATTCTGCGTCTTCTGCGGAAGCATTAGCCAAGTCGCTTGGCGGCGCCCCCGGAGTCGACGAATCCGACGCCGAGCATTCCGGGGACGGCGGCTCTTGTGTCAGAGAATCCGCGTACAGGACATCCTCAATGCGAGACATTACTGTGTTCGCAAGGCTTTCTAGTACCCTCGAGTAGCTCTCCAGCACAGAATGCCCCACATCCTAAACACCATTCAATTGTAGTTTTTTAAAGTTCCATGATTAAATGAAAAAAGTATCAAATAGGCTCTTAAACTTTATTCCAAAAGTCAATTAGGTTCTAAATTTTAAAACAGTACAATTAAACCCTCAAACATGTTAAATTGGGTCAATGAAAACCAAAAACTGATAAAATTATTATTACATGTTATTTCAATTCCGGCAACCGGCGACGGCAAAGTGGTTGCCAGTCACCTTCTATTGGTGAAGGCAACCAGTTGGTCACCTTCTCCGACGGAAGGCGACCAACTGGCCACCTTCTGCGGGAAAGGTGACTAGATCCGGTCTCCTTCCCATGGAGAAGGTTGGTTGCCTTCTCTGGCGGAAGGCGACCAATTGGTCGCCTTCTGCAATACAAGGTGACTGGCAACAGTTTTTTTGTCGTTGCCTATCACCGGAATTTGTCGTTGGTCATCGGAATCTGTCGTCAGATTGAAATGATCAGTAATATCAGGTCATTTTATCGGTTTTGGACTTCATTGACCTAATTTGATATGTTTAAAGGTTTAATTGCACTTTTTAAAGGTCTAATTGATTTTTGAGATAAAGTTTAGGGTCTATTTGACCCTTTTCTCTGATTAAATTACAAATTTAAGGATTATTATATTAAAAAAAAAAAAAAAAAGGATAGAATAGATGGAGTTACTTTGTTGAACTGGATTTTACTGATGTCGAGGGAGGATTGAGGGAGGCCTGGGAAACGATGCTTGAGGAGGAGTAAAATGGTCTCTGCTCTCTCCTCAAACTGTTCCCTCTTCTCCAAACTTACACCTGAAGACCAAGCAGACTTCACCTCCTTCTGGTTCATCTTCCTCTTCCAGATCACTATAGATGCCTCTATTTTGTTCTTCAGATCAAGTATCTTGTGCTCTGATGACAGGTCCATCGTTGACAGGAATTGCTCCGGGTCGAAAAACTCCACTGTTATGCTCTTGTAGGTATAATCCCCCAGACTTGATCTACCATTCTACACAGTACAAACCACACATATATATCACTCAAATTTCATGTTTATATATATATAAGAGTTTCTTTTCACTTTAGTCCCACGACTATGAGACAATTTCTATTGGTCTCCAACTGTTAATTTTGTTTTATATTTGATTTTACGAATTTTAAGTCCTTTTCATATTTGGTCCTTTCGGACTAATCATGGGTAAATTATCCTAAAGGGTAAAATTATTATTTTTTAAATTTCTTCACTTTTAGTTTTCGACTATGATACCCTTCCAAATAAGGTTCCTCGTTATCAAGATTTTCAATTTGGTGCATGACTATACGATTCTTCCCACATTTGGTCTCTCGTTCAACTTGCCAGCCAACCTAAACTGGGAAAAAAAAAACGCAAAACACAGCTCTTGACTTTTCGGTACCTTGTTTTTTACTTTTCGATACCTATTTTACAGCTTGACTGGGATTTAGATAATTAGATTGAATTGGCATGGCCTACAAATTGGACGAAGGACCAAATGTAGAACCAATTGAATAGTCAGGACCTAATTTGAATTAAAACCATAGTCGAGGGATCATAATTGAAGTTTTCTTTTTTTTGTTCTTAAACTTCTCACCAAAAGTGAAAATGGTGATGACCAAAAGTGAAAAACATCAACATTTAATAAATGTTTATTACCTTTGGGAGTGATTCAATGTAGCTTTCTGGGATCTCCATCTCTAACAAAATCTGTGCATTTATGGCCATGGAAGCTTTGAGCACTTGATTCACGCAGTCCTTCTGATACTGCAGCCATTTCCGGGATGCTTCAGACAGCCCATTCGGCGGAACCTTAACTGTGGGAAGCCACCATTTGGCGTTCTTCTGCACACCTTTCTCTGATTCATCCGCGTCTTTCGACACATACCAGAATTCGTTCTGGTCTTTGCAGTTGTCTAGGCAGTCCTGCAGTGAATCATACAATTCAATGATGTCCGGTCGGAAAATATATATAATTATATTATTGAAGGAATTTCAGCTAGGTTTCTTACTAGGAGCATGTTATCAAGCTTCTTTAGTGCAGGTATGTTCATCAGAAGGTCCCTTCTCTTTTGTGTCACCATTATCTGTCATTCACAAACATGAAATCATATATATGAGAATTGATATTATTATAATTATAATAATGAATAATGTATTGGGTAACTAGGGAAATTCGAAGATCCGAGGGTGTTCACCAATAAACCATATCTTGTGATTCTTGGACCAGAATGAAATAAATCAGCTTAAGTTGTTTAAAATTGAACGGCTCAAACCAAGAAGGTCAATAGACCACTCCGAGGAATCGAACTTGTAACCTTACAATAATAATGTAATTATAATGTTTTGAGTAAGGGAAACACGCAGACCCAAGAGTATGCACCAGTAAACCCTGTCTTGTAATTCTAGGACAACAAGGAGATAAATCAGTGTAAGTTGTCCAAAATTGACTGGCTCAAATCAAGAAGGTCAATAGACCACTCCCGGGATCAAACTTGTAACCTTACAATGAATAATGTAATTATAATGTTTTGAGTGGCTAAGGAAACACGCAGACCCGAAAGTGGGCACTGGTAAACCCTGTCTTGTAATCCTAGTCGACAAAAGACCACAAGGATGTAAAGCAGGTTAAATTGTCTATAGCTGACCGGCTTAAATCAAGAATACCAATAAGCCTCTCCCAGGAATCGAACTATAATGAATAATGTTGTGTTACCTCCATGATTTTTCCATCCTTTCCCGTTTGCTCAGAAGGGACAAGCTCAACAATGTAATCTGTGACAGATAAGAGCCACTCTACTTCCTTCTTCCACCTTGCCTTCCTGTCTGGAGCCATGGGTTGTAACTTGGATTGTTCTCCAAAAACAGAAGCTAAACAAGAATCCAAGCAAATGAAATGGAACAATAATCAATCAATCCAACACAAGAGTTATAGCAATTTCATGATACCAATTCAACATTCTTGAATATCTGCAGAAAGAAAAAGCTTAATTAATTACCAGCTAGATTTGTGATGGCATTTGATAAAGCCAGAGCTGATGAAACACCCTTTCCTCCTCCTGACATGTCCTCCCCCAGCAGCAGCTTAGAGAACCTTTCTTTCATCATGTCCATATCTAAGAATCCATCCACACACACACAAAAGTTCATCAGAATCCTAGCTCAAGACATGCTTTAACTTAAAAATTTATCATAGCCCTGGGTCAGACTTTCTCCGAGTAAGAGTAAAACTCCATACGTGTGACTAGGCAAAATGTGATGTTGTAGGTAGGGATGTCAATTGGACCAGCCTTTTAGGCTTCGTGCTAGTCAAGGCCATCAGACTTATCAATTTCAAGTTAATTTTTGCGAAAATTGCACTTTTCGTCCCTAAGTTAGGGACGAAAAGTGAGTATGACATTTTTCGTCCTTTCGTGCTTACTTTTCATCCCTGAGTAATACTAAAATAACAAATTTCGTCCCTAATGTTTTATTAGTAAAGGGACAAAAAGTACAACGTCAATGAAACTTAGGGACGAAAAGTGAGTATCACTGCTGGAAATTATAAAATTTCCGACCACCTGAAAGTGATCTTATATCAAGTCGAAAGCAAAAAGCGGTCGGATATAGCAATAAAGATTTTTCCGGATACCAAAAGTGGTCGGAACAAGGCTTTCGACTTGATTTAAGATCATTTTCAGGTGGTCGGAAATTCCATAATTTCCAGCAGTATATGACCAACACATAGAGACGTATCCTACAAATGCCCTATAACTCAGAGACGAAAAGTACAATTTTTCCTTAATTTTTTATGAGCCTAAATTTTTTCAGTCTTATCGAGTCAGCTCATCGGTTTCGAGCTAAGAAAAAAAATGATGAGTATTGGATTAACCTGAAGGTGGTTGTCTTTCTTTTTGGGGAGGAGGAGCTGCAGACACATGGTCATCATTGGTGGAGGAGGGAGTGGGGCCCTTATCCCCATGCTGAATGGTGATATCAGCAGTCTGATGATGTTCTAAGTCTGCTTCTTTGCCATTCTCATGCTCAAACATCTTTTTAACCTTTGAATATATGTGTTTGAGTTTTTTAATCTTCGCCTTTACCTTGGCACCTATATTTCAACCCCTTATTAATCACCTCTATGAAGAATTCTTGAACACCAGCACCAATATATGGGGAATCAGCAATGCAATAATGCAAAAATGCAGGTCATCATATGATAATATATTGTCATATTGTGACGACGGATTGGAGGACGAAAATTAAAGAAAATGAAGAAAATCCCTCGGCTCGAATCAAGAAAATGATGATGATTTGGAGAAATGGTGAAGGGGGTTTTTAGATGATTAATTTCCCTTGGTTAATTTGGAACAGGTAGATAGGGAGATTATAAAATTTTTAGGTTTTTTTTGGGGATTTCTGTTTTTTGTTTTTGGAGTTTCTGATGTGCGCATCCCTTAGCTTGTTGGGAGTATGGGAGCATGCATGGTTGTGTTTGGAGAATGGATGGTTTATTTTCTAACACTAGCAAAAAGCCCGGGAATACATACATTGAACAACTAACTCTTATTATTCCTACAAGCAAGGACAATTTTTGTATTTTCAACCGGCTTTTCTTTTTTATTTTTCTGCTGATAATAATAATAATGACTAAAAACTTCTTTCTGGAAATTCATGAACCCAATCTGCATGTATGTAAATCCAATAGAGAGATCGAGATTGTAGGTATGTTTCGTTCCAAGTTCCACTCTTTGGCACGGGAGGTATTTTTTATTTTGGCCATGGTAACATAGTTAGCTTGTCAGTCAATTTTAACTTGTTTAATCATTATTACCCGTTTGATTTGATTAAACAATCAATATGAGTGTTTAATTAATTAGCTTTTTGTAACAATTTATTGCTCCAAAACGCTAAAATTCAAAAAGTTGTTCAAAGAAATTTTTTTATTAGCTTTAAAAAAAAAAATCATTTTACATGTAATCATCTATAGGTTAAGAGCTAATTTATCAAACATCTTTTTCCAATCAGCTAATGATATCAACTAGTCAAACCCACTAACACAAATCAGCTAACAACTATTTATCAAACACCCCCTTTAATTTCTTGGTGTGTGCCGATCAAATCAGTTATGAGAATCTAGACTCATTTACTTTCAATCATATAAATGAATTATGGTCAACATCGTAAGGTGAATCACTTGACATTCAAGTTCATTGTTAGTATACTAAAGTTCATTCTTAATATATTGAAAGTTTATTTTTTGAATATTAGTGTACTGAAGGTTTATTATTTGTATATTACCTAAAAATGAATTTTTAGTATATAAAAATAAACTTTTATACTAAAAATGAATATTTGTTAGTGATCCACCTTTCAATGTGATTCATAGGCTATATTATAATTTGTCATTTATCTCTTGTTGTCCTTTGTGCGCTAGCCAGGCCAGGTCACAAGGTGAGAATGTGAGATATGCAGAGCTTCACTCAAAATCCACATTCGAATAGTAATTACGGACTTTTTCGTAAATCAAAGAAATATGATTGTATGTTCGCTGAATATCACTTTACTTGGTAAATCAAATTTTAACATTTCATTTATTTTTAAAGACGGAATTCATTGAAATTAATAGAGTTGATTCCAAATGGGATTTCTTGTTTTTTGTGGCAATTTCACATTTAATGTGAAGTTATCATTTTTGCCTTTAAACACCCGATACTATCGTGGCACCCCAGGCTGATCCAACCCCAAAGCCAAGGATCAAATCCTTAACCTTTGATTAAGGATAGATGAATCTTTTCCACTCAACCACACCTTCCAGATTACCTTGTGCTTTATTTTATTATTGATACATTTCAGAAAAACAAAGATGACACCCTTCAGAAAAAACAAAGATAACACCCTATTACCTCCAGGTTCACTTTTTTGGAACTTATAGTTCACATAGAAATGTTAGTAAAAACCGGCACATTCAATTCCTTCTTTTTTAGGGATTTCGGTGGATTATTTGGGGTGGAATACAGCGAAAGAGATGAACAAAAATGATAAAAGATTTAAAAATGTGATTAGACCAATTTACAGTTGTTTAAAATAAAATTTCACTAAAAAAAAAAAGTACAAGAAGGATTAAAAGTATCCACAATTTAATAGTTTAGGGTTTTAAAGACAAAATTGAATTTTGCCTTGAGTAAAATACAGGTATATTAATATCAGTTCAGTAGGTCTTAGCGTTTTGCCTTGATTCATCGATTGAATATTGAGAGTCTTATAGTAATCTGATCTGGTATATCACTCTCCCTTCCTCATTTATTTTCTAATTTTTTAGGTCTTTTCTTTTGGCTATAATGAAGTTTCCACCTTTGTCTGAATCAAAGAATTTTGAATTTGTATTTTACGTTGCTCATGACTTTTAGGTTTTGTTCTACAACTCAAGTAGTAATTTGCCCCTAATCCTACCTTGATATGAAAATATAGCAATCTAAACACTTTTTCCTTTCTCAGCACAATTGTGATAATGGTTTTCATTTATTTAACTTTGAGCAGGTAGGTAATGAATGCTGAGTTGCTGGAAGTTGTAAATCTTGTAATTTGTAAAATTGTTGGAGACTTTGGAGTGTTTGAGTTGGACAATGGACAATATAATTTTGTATATTTCTAAATTTATATTTTAGTTTTTGTATAAAATTTTAAGTTGTAACATGTAATTTGTATTTTATAACTTGTAATTTTTTGTTCACTAAACTGTAAAATTGTAAGGTTTAACTAGTTTAGTTTAAAGTTGTTAATTTTTTTTCCAATCCAAACAAAATCAAAATTCGACTAAAATTGACTACACCTGAACACATAATATCCGATGTGATTTATGTAGGAAAAATAGCATTAAAATGACATTTTAAGTAGCTATTTTGTGGTACAATTATCAGTGGGGTCCACTTCCGATTTGCGTCGGGTCAAATTGGATTCGGGTTCTTCATAGTGAGACAAAGAGATTGATATATTGTACGCTCAAAACGGATAATGGGTGAATGAGATATTGATTCTCAAAGTAGACCCATTTGAGTTGGAAAAATGAAGGGAAAAGCTTGGAAGAAGCTTTTGTCCCACATTGGTTTGGAAAGAGGATTTGCCCCACTATTTATACAAGAGCTCTTTTAATACTTATTGAATCATATAGTGTAGAGGCTCTTTGTCACGTGTGACAAGGCTAGACCCAAGCCTGAACTCATATATGCTGGTTCTTGCGAAGTCGAAGTCGACTTGATACGTTCGGTTCGCGAAGTGGTCTTCTGGTGCACGGTGCATCTGAAGGCGTGGTACCTTTTGGAACGGTACGTTTGGTTCGCGAACCTTTTGGAACGGTACGTTTGGTTCGCGAAGTGGTCTTCTGGTGCACGGTGCATCCGAAGGCGCGGTACCTTTTGGAACGGTACGTTCGGTTCGCGAAGTCGTCCGCTCGGCACGGTACATGTCTGTACTGTTTGAATGGGTTAATTCAGTTGTTACGAAATTAATTCTATATTAATTCCAGAATTAAACTCCATATTAAATAGTCAGTTTTGAAGGTTATAATCTGATTTTTAAATCGGATTTAAATGCTATTGTTGAATGCTATTTGCACCTCAATCTCCTATATAAGTTTGTTGTTGGAGCAGCAAATTTACGAGGAAATAACAAGTGAAGGAGACACAACAGACACACACACACACTAGATTTTACTCTCTCAAAACTCTGCTCCGATTCTTGTCTTGCGGGTGTGTTCTGTCCATGCTCTAGTTCGCCGGGTTCGTTCGTTTGGGTGCTCAAACGTCAAACCGTAGTATGTTTTATCCTAGGAAGCCTAGGCCACAACGCTCCTATCACTTTTGGGAGGTGACAAATAAGATTTTAAGGAAAATGAGTTTACGCTCGAATCGTACTTACCACTCTTCTTCATCTCCTTTCTTCTCCGGTTTGGGATTATGCTTTAAAGCAATAAATCCTTACTTTGTTTCCTTTTCGTTAGATTAGAATTATAATTTGAGGATTATAAATTCCATTTTTTGTTTATATATATATATATATATATATATATATATATATATATATATATATATATATATATATATATATATATATAGATTTTGGATTCGGTGAGGTCCTACTGACATGTGAGATCGTAAGGCTCAATCTTATTCGTTTATTTGTATTTTTTAACGCTCCAGATTTAATGATGTATAAGGCCATGTGCGCTGGTTTTTTAGAATTAGGGGCATTGGTGTCTTTTTGTTGATATATTTATTACGGTATATTAATTAGTATGCAGATTTTTTAGGCGTGTGCAGGGCTAATTATAGTCTCAAATCGCATATCAAGATTTTTTGCAGAGTTATTGCCGTCTCTTCAACTCCTTTTCCTTGCGTGACTTTGTTATCTTCTCCGTCTCCATTAGTTTCTTCTGCGGTTCCTTTTTTCGCCGTCCGTTCATTCTACGAGAAGCCCCGTCTCTGTTACGCTCAGCCCGTGCCGTCCAAGCAGAAGTCATGGCGGGTTTTACCAACAAGCGGTCCGAGGGTCAGAAGGGTGGGTCTTCCGGTTCTATTCCAGGTATTCCGTCGCCGTTTGGTCAATTAGGTTTGCTTCGTTTATTTGTGTGTTTTGTACTGATTTTGCATTTTTACGGTGGGGAGAGCAATGTCAGCGGGGTTATTTAGTGTTCTAGTTCCTGTTTTTTTTTTGGGGGGGTGGGGGGGTTTAGGATTTTTTTTCGGTTCTTTTTCGCAGGTTATTTCGTCTAGTGCAATGTTGGTTTTTTTTTTTTCTTTTTTCTTTTTGCGTGTTTTCGAGATTGTAGGTTCATTGCATGGCTGTGTTTTGAGGGGGGGGGGGGTGGGTAGGGTCCCGGTGAGGACCTGTTGTGTTTGTGTGTGTGTGTGTTTTTTTTTTTTTTTTTTTTTTTTTTTGTATTGTTGTTGATTCTTTCCGGTGTGGGGGGGTATAATGACCAGGGGCACATCCGATGAAGATGAAGGAGGGAATAATTCTGTTTTGGGAATGCTAGGGGCAGCTAATGGCTTTCATACTCACCAGTGAATATTTATTTCCCACACACATAGTATCTCCTTCTCTTCAGCTTCAATTCAATTGCCATCTTGCCCTGCTTGTGGCCATTATTTTTGTAGTTTTCTGTATAGTTTGTAAGAAGAATGAGATTAGGCAGGAAAGTAGAAAGTATAGACTGATTGGTGCAGAGGTGCAACAGATGGAAATGGGTGCTTGCTATGCTTTTACTTTGGATTCTGATGAAGATGAAGGAGGGAATCATAATGCTTTGGGAATGCAAGGGGTGGCAGCTAATGCCTTTCATACTCACCAGTGAATAAATTAATGATTAAATGTAATATTTTCGCTACATTGACACTTCTATATTCGTAGATTTTTTTTTTCCTGTGTTACTTTTTGAGAAATTGGATTTTCTTAGGATTTTGTTTATCTTGGGTGGGTGCATGTGTGTTGTGTGGTGGGTGCATTTTACAATAACATTTGATTCAAGGTAATGTTTTGTCCTCTAAATAAGAACCAATGTGTGGGGAAGTTTTGGACCATTAGATTAGATATGTAATGACCTCTTAGCCTTCTCCAAGAACCAAGGATTGTTTAACTGTTAAGTATTTTGGGAGTACTTGAATGCAGCAATGATTAGAAATAAATTCAGAAGCCAAATTCCTTGTAGCTCTGCAATATTCTACTCTAGTTTTGGACTGATGATGTGATTGACCCTCTAGTTTATCCTGTCCCATGGTAACCACTGCACTGCATCCTGTACAATAACATTAGATTCAAGTTAATGTTTGTCCTGTAAAAGTAAAACTAAAATAGTTTTACATTTGATTCAAGGTAATGATTTGTTTTATATGGAATCAGAAAAGTCCTTAGTTATTACTTCTTTGCCAACTTTTAGTAGTTTTTCAAATATGTCTTTTAATTTTTGTGGGTGCATGTGTGTGTTTTGGTCGGTGCATTGGTGGATTAGGTGTGTGCATATGGTGAGCCTCCGTAGATTTTGGTCTGTGTGAGGCATTTTCATATATTCTTAAACTTTTATATATTCTTAGGGTTTTTTTTTTTTTTTTGTGTTCCTTTTTGAGAAATTGGGGTTTCTTAGGATTTTTGTTTTTCTTGGGTGGGTGCGTGTGTATTGTGTTGTGGGTGCATTGTTTACATTATAGATGTGTTTTTGCGTGTCTTATATTTTTGTTACAGATCTTAAAAAATATTGCTTTTATTGTGAGAGTAAGATATTTCCTTATATATTTTTTAATATATTATTTATTGAACTTTATTTTTTACATTGATTAATTTTTCATCTTTTTGATGTCCTTTATTAAATGTACTGAATGCACTGATTTTAGTAATGTAGACCAAATGTAATAAACTTTCACTTTGCGAATGTATAATTTCTTTTTTGGTTCATGATTTTTGTTTATAAATAAACGAAGTGTACAGTGACATGTGTATGCAACTTCCATGTTACAGCAAAATGCACAAGCATCTGAACATCAACGCACACACCACCTTATATATATATAGCGCGAAAACAGATGAATTCAAACATAGAAAAATTAATTTTGCTATCATTTTCATTGTAAACTATCTAAATTTGGCATATTAAAACAGACACCTAATAATATTTCTTATTAACACTTTCATGAAATAAATATATACATATAGATGTGTTTAAATGCATCATCCACACACGTTGCACATGCTACTGCACATATACGCACACACCACCGTATTCAAAAACTGTGGTCCACAAAACAAAACAAACAAATACTACTCTACCAGTAATTTTCTTTCAAAACAGAGAAACAACAGGCATCCACCCCCACCCCTAACAATAAATGTTGATATAAAATAACGGGCTCAAAATTGTCAAGTTCCCATTCCACATTTCGCACACGCTATAGCAATTACATGCACACACCACCCTATATTAAAATTGAAATTTAATAAATTGAAACAGACAGCTCATACTATTTCTTAGTAACACTTTCATGAAAAAAAATACATATAGATGCGTATAAATGCACCATCCACACACTAAACGGATCATAATTGACAGGTCCCCATTCTACAATTCGCACACGCCAAAGCAATTACATGCACACACCAGCGACTACCATGTTCCCTAATGGTTTAATAAAATATTTTTCTTATTAGATCAAAAACCTACCTGCGTGCACTTCACATTACAGAACAAAATTTTAACTTACACGCAACGTACCGGGTCTATGGTGTTGCACACGCCTTCACTAACTAATGCACACACCTGTAGTCGAAAATCACAAAAAAAAATAATAATAATAATAATAAAGTCCTTGAACACATACCTCTGTCCATTCACAAGCTTAAAACTGTTTTGGCATGCACCCTCCTCTGCGCACGGTAATGTTGATGCAACACTACAACAATATTATTACAACTTATTACCATTATTATATACCCTAATATAATTCTAAAGATTCCAAATTAATTCTATCCAAAATTAACCACTCTACTACAATTACATTATTGTCCTTCTACTAAAAAAATATCCTTACTTGCTATATATTTGTCATTCAATCACAACCATCCTTTTAGAATGAATTGATGGATAGGATGAGGTCTCATGATCTCATTTATAATAGGGGTCTCATGGGATCCGGAGCCTATATATATATATATATATATATATATATATATATATATATATATATATATATATATATATATATATATATATATATATATATATATATATATATATATATATATATATATATATATATATATATATATATATATCGGATATATATCGAATAATATTTTATATACTTTTGTGTGTATATATAAATATTATTTTGCGATATTAAATCGACTTTGGTTCATTATTTTCAACAATTTATACTTAAAAATAAACAAATTAAGTATAATTTATACAAATCAAAATCTGAATGGTTCACAAAATCGAACCGCCCAATACACAAGACAAGACGTCATTTTCATTTAACTTTAAGGTTTTTCTACTCTTCGGTATAGGTCATTCTGCAAAGGTAATTGCTAGACTTCATTTTCATTTCCACACCTTTTCTATAGTTCTCATATGTATCATGTGTAGCATTATTTGCATTGATCACTCAATGATTTGATTTTAAAGTATGTAGTATCATTATGATCAATGCAAATAATGCTTTTATGTTTTTTAAAATTTTGTATTGTATTAGTGTGTCCGATTTCTGTTGACTTGCCAATACAACATTATTGAGGATCGGATGAATTGAGTTTTTGAAAGTTAAATCTTATGAATCCAGGAGGATTAGAGTATGGCTACTAAATTGTTTGCCAAAATGTTCAATTCACTGTAGGGGAGACCTGTTTTGGTGTATGACTTTTATTTATATGATTTGTAAAACAAATTTATGTCTTCAGTGTAACACGGTTACCATTTATAGCTCCTTTGGTTCGTTAAAAAATATTTTAAAAAAAATGGAATTGAAATTCCATGGAAAATAAATTTCATTATTTGGTTGGTAGAAAAAAAAATTACTGGGAATATGAATTTCATTGTTTGGAATGGTAAGGAATAATGAATATAATGACACATATAACCCCACACAACAATAATAATATAATAATGGGTTAATTTCATCATAGGTCTCTTGTCTTTGGTGGTAATTCCTAATTTAGTCCCAGACTATCGTTTTTGCCATTTTACATCTCAGACTATCGTCGTTTTTGCCATTTTACATCTTAGACTATCGTTTTTTGACACTTTTAGTCCTTCTTATGACTTTTTCTATTTTTAGTAAGGGCATTTTTGTCTCTTCATATTTTTCTTTAGTTATTTTTCCCGTTGCAACCGATTTAATTGGTTTAGGACTTTATTAAAAATCCGTTGAAAAATATAGTTATTAAAAATCAAAGGTTTAGTTCTAAACAAATTAAATCGGTTGAAATCGGAAAAATAATAAAAGAAAAATATAAAGAGACAAAAATGCCTTTACTAAAAATAGAGAAAGTCATGAGAATGATTAAAAGTGTCCAAAAAACGATAATCTGAAATGTAAAATGACTAAAACGATAGTCTAGGACTAAATTTAAAATTGTTACCAAAAGACAAAGAGATCTTTAGTGGAATTAACTCTATAATAATAATAAGAGTAATTAATAAAGAATGGTGAAAGTAAAATTGTCATATTAATTTTACATGGAAAACAAAAATATGTAGGATGAACTAAGTTGATTTTAAACTGAGGAAGTATGTTAAACTGCTAACAACCAAAATATGTCTTCACTCTTCATGGTGAAGAAAAGCTTCCGAGTTTCATGTATGGAGAATGAAGTATCTTTCTAACCTCATACTATTACTGCTAACATCTGTGACTATGAAAAATGTCGCTGCCAGGTCTGTTGAAACTTTGGCCCAACGGGACAATGGTAAACTCGCCACCCGTTATGCGGCCCACCTTCAACTCTGCTCCTCAAACATACACACCCCTGCTACGTCTTCTCTTGCTAGAAGCATCCATGCCAACATGATCACCTCCGGGTTCAAGCCTCGTGCCCACATCCTCAACCGCCTCATCGATATCTATTGCAAGTCCTCTAACCTCCTGTACGCACGCCACCTGTTTGACGAAATTCCCCAACCGGATATTGTTGCTAGAACGACCATGATTGCTGCATATTTTGCTTCTGGGGACCCCAACCTCGCTGCAGAGATTTTTGATAGAACCCCTTTAGGCATGCGCGACACGGTTTTTTATAACGCTAGGATCACGGGCTATTCGCATCAAAATGATGGCCATGCTGCTATACAAGTCTTCAATGATATGAAAAGAAACAACTTTCAGCCTGACCAGTACACTTACACTAGTGTGCTCGCAGCCTTGGCACTTATAGCCGATTGTGAACTGCACTGCCAGCAGCTACATTGTGCTGTTATCAAGTCCGGGACTGGGACGATTACTTCTGTACAGAATGCCCTTTTGTCAGTGTACGTTAGGTGCGCATCTTCACCCTTTGTGTCTTCATTGCTTTTAATGGAATCAGCTAGGAAGGTATTTGATGAGATGACCAAGAGGGATGAATTGTCATGGACAACAATCATTGTGGGTTATATAAGGAATGATAATGTTGATGCTGCACGAGGAGTGTTTGATGGGATGGATGAGAAGTTAGTTGTGGCGTGGAATGCAATGATTTCAGGGTATGTGCATAAGGGTTTAATCTCTGAAGCGTTTGAACTTTTTAGACAAATGTACTTGCTAGGGATTAAACTGGATGGATTTACATATTCAAATGTACTCAGTGCCTGTGCTGATGCTGGATTATTTCTCCATGGAAAGCAGGTGCATGGTTACATAGTAAGGACAGAAACAACACCTATGGAGCATGCTCATGTGTCAGTATATAATTCTTTGATTACGTTGTATTGGAAATGCAATAGAGTTGATGATGCTAGGAAAATTTTTGATCAGATGACCACCAAGGACTTGATCTCATGGAATACAATTTTGTCTGCATATGTGAGTGCTGGACGGATTAATGAAGCTAAATTGTTTTTTTCTGGGATGCCAGAGAAGAATTCCTTAACATGGACAGTGATGATATCTGGATGCTCACAAAATGGGCTTGGGGAAGAAGGTCTAAGGTTATTCAACGAAATGAAATTAAATGGGTTTGAGCCATGTGACTATGCTTTTGCAGGAGCCATTGCATCTTGTTCAGTGCTTGCTGCGCTAGAAACTGGACGCCAGCTCCATGCTCAGATTATACGGTGTGGATTTGATTCAAGCCTCTCTGTTGGAAATGCATTAATTACATTCTATGGAAGATGTGGAGACATTGATGCTGCGCAGTGTCTGTTTCTTACAATGCCATTTTTCGATTCTGTGTCTTGGAATGCAATGATTGCAGCCTTGGGGCAGCATGGACATGGTGCTCATGCGATAAAACTCTTTGAAGAGATGCTGGAAGAGCGTATATCTCCTGACAGCATAAGCTTTCTTACAGTCCTATCTGCTTGTAGTCATGCAGGGTTAGTTAAAGAAGGACAGCATTATTTTGATTTAATGCATAGAGTGTATGGCATAAGTCCAGGAGAAGATCACTATTCTCGCTTAATTGATTTGTTGTCTCGAGCTGGAAGGTTCTCAGAAGCTACAAATGTGATCCAGACTATGCCCTTTAAGCCTGGGGCACCCATTTGGGAAGCTCTTCTTTCTGGTTGTCGACTTCATGGAAACATTGAGTTGGCAGTGCAAGCTGCAGATAAACTCTTTGACCTAGTTCCACAAAATGACGGAAGCTACATACTTATGGCAAACATGTTTTCTTCTGCGGGCAGATGGAGTGATGCTGCCAATGTACGAAAATTAATGAGGGAACGAGGGGTCAAGAAGGAGCCTGGCTGTAGTTGGATTGAAGTTGAAAACAAGGTCCATGTATTCTTGGTGGACGATACTAGGCACCCTGAAATCCAAGCAGTTTACAACTATCTGGAGGAATTAGCACTAAAGATGAGGAAAGCTGGATATATTCCAGATACGAAGTATGTGTTACAGGATATGGAAATTGAACAAAAGGAGTATGCTTTGTCAACTCATAGCGAAAAACTTGCTGTTGTGTTTGGGCTTTTGAAGCTACCTCGTAGTGCCACGATTAGGGTCTTCAAGAACCTCCGGATATGTGGGGACTGCCATAATGCATTTAAGTTCATGTCAAAGGTAGAGGCAAGGGAGATTATTGTGAGAGATGGAAAGAGATTTCATCACTTCAGGGATGGTGAATGCTCATGTGGAAATTACTGGTGAGCAGAGAGATTCTATTGTAATTACGTATTAAAAGAATTGGATGTTTGGACAGATAAGTATCATTCATGATGCCAAGCTATTGATAGTGGAGCTTAAAGAAGTTATTCTGGAAGCCTGACCTTTCTTTCCTCATCCTGTTCAGCCAATCATCCTCCAGTGAAGTCTTCAATGGCAGAGTAATTGTTCAATTTCCTTTTATGTCTCTCTTCCTGAAGAGGTTTGGACTTTAGTTTCCAGCTATGGAGATTCATTGAAACCATTAGCCCTTTGCATTAAGATATTAACATGCCTATCAATGTTTGGCTTGTCTTTTGACAACATCTACTTCAGTTTGGAAATGCTATGAAAATGTAACCTGGGAAGCCATTAAACGCAGCTAAGGCAGCCAGCCAAGACAGTTGCTGCTGCAAAGCCCATTGCTCCAGAACATGCTCAGATTCAGGTCGTCAACTCTAAATCTCTAATCAGTTGCGGAATATGAATGAGAATATTTAACTGCGGGACAGGCCGGCTTGGTGGTGAGCTTTACTATTGTTTAAGATTCAACTCAATTCCATTTGCATTTATTTAGAATCAGTTTCTGTGGTTGTTGAAATCTTGGTTTATACAGTTCAAATTCAACCAATAATTTGGTATTCTGAACTTGAAAATCTGAAAATTTTCCTTTCAAAGGACACCTATTTGCAGAATTCGGAGAAGGTTGCAAGCCAGACATGTGAAACTCAATGAGCCTACACTACACTGCTTGCTGTTATATAGAGAAACAGATTGGAGGAGGAGATGCTGAAAGTATGTTTGAGATGAAAAAATATGTGAAGAAAGACTACAGCTTGGCCTTCTAACTATAGACAAAGGAATAAGAAGGATTAGTGAAAAGCTTTGATGTCTTCCAATTGGACATTCACAATGGGATAATACTATGCTTAAAGAGTTATAGTTGTAAACTGCTAAAAGTGTTTTTATGTTCCAAGAAAATTTGGCTCAACTTTTATTTTTTTATTGTAGAGATCCTTGATAAACTTTTAAGACATGTTCCCATCAGCTGTCAATCCATCTTCAATAAATCTAATAACACTACAGGACTATTGGCCTTGGTTTGACCTGATCAGTTATGTGCAAGTTATATTGGGTTACTTTTTGTGATCCTTTATCAATTAGAGTCATAAGATAAGATATACCTTGTGCACGCTATTGGGTAGTGACCAAAGGTGTTTTTTTTTTTTTTTTTTTTTTTTTTACAAGTTCAGGACTTGTTCAATTTAAAAACCATAGCAAACTTCAAAAATCAACTTCTTGTAGAATATGTAGACAAGTTACAAGTTTTACATTTCCACAATATGCTTGGTTTATGAAATGAATTTAAAACAAAGAATATAATGGGTAAAGAATAAACACCATCCCACATTGATATATATAACATTGATTGTTTGTTAATGATAGGTAAAGAATAAAACAATAGGGATGATAATTTTAATCCGTCCCTAGATATCCACTTGAATCCACCATGCGTGGATGGAATTCTTTTAAATGATTGTTTGTGGTGGGTCGGAGGTAGACAAATTATTATGTGGACTATAAAAAAAGTATATTTTAATATACTAAACGTACATTATTTGTGTACTGAATTTATATTATACAAAATAATGTACATTTTTTTTCAAAAAAAAATGTACTTTTAGTACTCAAATAATATATTTTTCCTGAATACAATGTACATTTTTAATATACTAAAAGTACATTATTTGATAGTATGGTCCACACAATAATGATTGTCTGAAGTAAGTCTTAAAAAATCAAACTCATAATGGACTGGGTTGCATGCAAGTTTTATATACAAAACCCGCATAAAAAGTGATAAAACTCAACCCGACCCACAATGTGTGTGTACAATTATTATTGTGTGGACCATAGTTTGTATACTGTAAAATCATATAAATTCATTACAAAAATAATGTACTTTTAATATTTATAAATTGTATTAAGGGGATATACATTATTTGTGTATTGAGTATGCATTATATTGTATAATGTATATTCAATACACAAATAATGTACATTTATTATATTAAAAATATATTTTTTATTATAATCCCCACACACACACATACATACATACATACATACATATATAGGCTTGGGTTCCTGTGAGATCACCCCTATATGATGATTATCTCATTTTCAATCAACGGTTTTTGTCCTTTTCCATACATTTTTATTGTTAGTTGTAGTGGTGTGACAAAACCATTATTAACACCAAGGATATTATTTATCGCATTTTCTTCTATCACTACAAAACCATTATTAACACCAAGGATATTATTTATCGCATTTTCTTCTAACTACTCTTTGAATATAATGTGATTTTTCTATCATTTCTAGTTAATCAACATGAGAACAAGTAAGTTACTATTTGATGTACATTACAAGACCAAGCGACTTACATTTCATTACCTGATAATTTGTGCAAATAGGTTTGTTAATATATATATATATATATATATATATATATATATATGGTTTTTCTTTTAAAAAAAAATTTCGAAATAAAAAAAATGATAAAAATAACATCTAAACAACATAACTAATATTATTATGTTAAGTTTTACATGTTAGAGTTGTTAATTAAGACACAAAATTTAATAAGTTCTTAACTTGTCCGTGGTTATAATTTTTTTCCTCCATAATTTTTAGTCTTTTAAATGTCACTCCTATTGATTTTCTTTTTTTTTTTTTCAAATTTTAAATATAAATCTACATGTACACAAAGTCATTACTTTAAGTAAAAAAATTTAGTTCATAAAAGTCATTATTATAAATACATAAATTCACTAACGTAAATACATAAATTCATCAATGTAAATACTAAATACATAGATTCATTGCTATTGGTGTCATTTTTATGTACATACAATATTATTTTTATATAATATAGTAGATTATAGACCACACTATAATTTACCTTAATGGATCAACCGTTAATGACTCATGACATGTTAATTAAGGCTAAACCCAACTTGTTATTTTCATGTTAAATTTTGTCGTGTAAAAATTTGTTCCGTTTAGTCACTTCACTAAGGGGGGGGGGGGGGGGGGGGGGGGGGGGAAAGTTATATAAGGATGTTATCAAATGTAGCCTAGGTACTTTTAATTTATTTATTTGCAGTTACAAACCAAACAAATATAGTACGTACTACATGTGTAAACAAATGCAAGCAGCATATATTACAAATTTTGAATTTAAATTATTGGTAGTTGGTGCCCTACCAATGACTCCACCAACTATAAATTAAAAGCATGGCAACTCCTACTGCAGTACAAACTGTTCAAGGATTTAATAACATTGTAGGGTAGTCTCATGAAGAACATGGAGAGATAACCCTACATAAATTAAGGATTTTGATATGCATGCATGTACCATAAAACAAAAGCAACGGTAAGTCTAGTCCTAAAATGAATGTACGAGTGAATTGAATAGAACATGATTCTTGTACTGGAAGGTCACGAGTTCAACTATCATCATAAATCTCTCAGTTAAGTCAGTTGCACATGGTATTCTTATTAGTACAATTTATCTCATATGTATAATAAACCCCGGCTAGACGTACAATAAGTGTAGTTTCTCTCATCACAAAAAACAAAAACAAAAACAAAAAAAAGTTTGAATATATCATGCATATTAACTAAAAGATCAATTATCCTCAATGATCAACTAGTCTCTAGTGACATAATTTTAAGATTTTACATAAGAGATTTTGAGATAAATTTCCTTCTATCTAAAAGAGATCAATTCTCCCGTCTAAGAGAACATATTTAATGCAATTTTGATAATTGATTAAGTAGCCATGTATAATTCTTATTTTGCTTTTCATAAATTGTACTATTAAATGTATAAATATTGTAAAGCACATCGTGCTCATATGGCACCTTTGTGGCTCTCCTTAAGGGAATGTCATAGGATCAAACCTCGGTGGTGGATAATTGACTCTTTGAACTGCAATAAAATAAATTTATTTAATGTGATGGTTTTTGGCAAACTATACCATGAATCAGGGTTCACTTTGCATTGTAGACTCTGGTCTAAAACGATATTTAGATTATGTATTTGTATTTAACATATTATGTACATTCAGTTATTAGATTATGTACCTATAAATAAATATAATTGAAGGAACATAATATGTTAAATATATATACATAATTTATTAACCGCAGGTACATAATATGTTCATTGTAGTAGTTATAACTTATAATACAATAATACATACATAATTTATTAATTGCAAGTACGTAATATGTTAACGATACATGTATAATATGTTAATTATAGTAGGTACATAATTTATGAACTAAAAGTACATAATACGGAGTATGTTAATTATATGTACATAATTTAAATGTCATTTTGGACCAAGGTCAACAATGTAATGTGAACCTTGGTATATGGTATAACCAATCATTATTGTGTGGATCATATTGTCAAATAATGTATATTCAGTACACAAATAATGTACTTTAATATATTAAAAATGTACATTGTATTCAGGAAAAGTACATTATTTAAATATTAAAAGTACTTTATTTTTTATAATGTATATTCAGTACATAAATAATGTATTTTTTTAAAAGTATAAATAATGTATTTTTAGTATATTAAAAATGTATTTTTTTTTATGGTCCATATAACAATGTATGGATCATAATTTGCCATGGTATAACAAATGATGGTTTTTGTTGGACATTTTGAAAGTTTTTAATAATTAGGAGTTTCATTTTAAGTTACTAGGGAATTAAATGATGTCGATTTTTTTTTCGGAGTTTTTTTTTTTTTTTTTTTTTTTTTGGTGGTTCGAATATTCTAATTAACAAAAGAGTTGCGATGCATTATTTTCTTTAACGTTCATTCTAATTTTCACATCTTGTAGTGTGATAGATTATTTTATTAAAAATTTACATTTTTCTTAATCTTGATAAAAAAAATATTTACTTTAATTATCTAATTTTTCTTTCTCCAATTTTTATTCCCTTTTTTTTTTAATAACAAAAATGTATAAATAAATAACTTTTTACTATATAAATATCTTTTTAATTTTTATTTTCAATTAGTAAACACATCGGGATACTCTCAACTCACTAGAAAAAAGTAACAAAATACCAACAAATTGTCTATTTGCATCATTGATTTGAGCCCGTCAACTATGGACGACCTAAGCTTGTTTTCCTCCTTGTGGTCCTTTACTAGCTAGGGTCACAAGGCGGGATTTATCGAAAGCACACTTTCGGATAGTGGCTGCAAGTTTTCCTATTCACTCAAAAATACCAACAAATTTAACTATAGATTAAATAGTTATAGCTTCTTTTTTTAAAAAAATAAAATAAAATAGTTATTGGCTTAAATATCTACTAGTTTTAGTATTTTACCTACAGAAATTCATTGATAAATTAAATGCATACTAATTTGAGAGTAATGCTAAATACCCATCATATTTTTCTCATCCCATCCATCCCTCATGACATGGTAATATGGCATGCAATATCTAATTGATAACAAAATGTTATTTTTAATTAGTGGTGTGTTACCAATTCATGAACACCCAATGAATAGAAGTCACATTATGAGGTAAAATAATGACGGAGAAATTTAAAAGAGGAATAAAGTATTTCCTTTTCAGTAATTTATTTACAATTTTATTCTACTTATAAATTTAATTGCTCTGATAGTGCATCCCATTTTGACATATTACGGAGTACATTATTTACATACCCTAGTTGTTTTTTTTTTTTTTTTTCTTTTTGGCGCCGAAAGGATCAGAAGGTCCCAAAGATTAGTAAACTCTTCTCGAAACAATTCTTTGAAATTCAATTTTTTTTTGTGCCGTTTGAAAAGGGAATTTTGAAAAGTCCATCTTCAATCTTTACCTTGCATTCAAGTGGAGCAAATAAGCTGACCTGTAAAATGCTTTCAGATTAAATTAAACAATACTCCGTAAATACTTCCGTAATATAATTCCATATATTACAAGACATGCCCTGTCTTGGTACACTCCAAAAAGTACTTAATGCTACTATTTTTTACCATGTTTGTCAGTGGGTGAAACTCTTTAATTTAAT